AACTTTTTATATAAATTGTCATTTTGAATTTGAGCTTGAGTTATATTTACAATACAAACAAAATAACTTATCGCTATAGGGCAATATAAAAAACCTCCGTGGTTCTGTTCCGCAAGTGAATTATACTGACCGAGCGACCGCCGCTTGTCGGGGAAGTTAGTGCTAACTTTAGCTGATAGAGGTTGTCGAGTGGTCAGCGCAACGAATCCCCAAGCCCGTTAACTTCGGTTTTCTAGACCGGAGCCTCTATTTCCTTGAAATAGGTCCTCAGTTATTCTCACGAGCCTGAGTGGATCCCTTTCCAGACTCACTACTTCTCAGAAAATCTGGTAGTGCCGGGAATCGAACCCGGACCTCTGGATCTGTAGCCAGGAACTTTGACCACTAGACCATAGACACGGTCCTATAGGGCGATATGATGATGGCTTTAAAAAGCCGAAACATGTAGCTAGGTAATTTTAACCTTGACCGTTATGTTGTGGTGTTAAGACAGACTCCAATAAAGAACTGTATATAATAACAAAACAGGATACACGAAATTAAAATTATTTGTGTTCCCCCATCTGAGCTACAAGTCCTTGATGTAACTTTCCTGACAAAACTGGAAAGCCGTATAATCATTAAGTTCCTTGGTTGGGATCTTGTGTGCTATAACACTGTGTTGTAGTCTGACAGGCAGATAACAGGGTTCTGGTGAAACGCACCATGCTGCAGTCTGATAGGCAGATACTAATGTTTTGGTGGAATGTGTGCCTCCAGCTTTAGGATGACTCCAGATATCAGACATTTAGGTTACGTATGTACGAGTACAGATGTTTGACCTATTCCCATTCATGAACAATACCCTTTGAAGCATCATGTTGTGTTTGCAGTCACAATATGAAACCAGGTCATCCAAAAACAGCCGTTTCATTTGGCTGATGATATGGGATATGACACTGTGTAGGTTGGTAGAAGTTAAATGATATTTCAGAGGAACACATTGCCTTCAGCTTCAATTTTCCATCCTGAAGATAGAGGAAGTATATTTGTCTGCAGTGTTGGTAAAAATAAATTACATTTCGGAAGACTTATCCTTAATAACACTGCTGAAAAGTCAGGATGTGATAGAATGTATGTAGCAGAAGTCTACCCTTATGAAGGTGGTGGTACATTCCTCCAAAATGTTGGTAGACTCCTACCCAACTATACAGTGTCATTTCCAATTTCCTCATGATCACTGCCAGGAATATCTCAAATCTCACAAGTAACATTGGTGTTTGCAGATGGATGTACTTCCATTTATGAACAAGAAATATTGGCACACTACAACAATACAGTGATTTTGCTGTACTGACTAAACTGAACTGTGATCAGTTCAGATGAATTACGTTACATAATGAAATTATTTCTCAGAGCGTTGTTTGAATAAGTCTTCATCACAGTAATGATTCTGATGGGAAATCTATACAAATTAAAAAGAAATGGCAAGTCTACCACTGCAACCATTTAAAGCTATCTGCTGACGCTTCAGTGGCCCTGCCTGAGCTCCAACTGCACGTGGCCACCTCAAGTTTACAGTGAAAGGTTTAGTGCATTCAAATATATTATGAAATTAAAACATTTTTATATTATTTTTCCTAAAGATGATATACATTCAAATACTACACCAAGTGAAACTATTTTATGATCTTTCTCAACAGGATACTGACCACTAAAAAACAAAATCTTCAGTTTCTTTTGACAGGTGTGTCATACCTTTTGTTTGAAAACCATTTACTGAAAAATTAATCACCTATTGGCATCGCCGATAAGGACAGATAGTAATGACCATCAATTACCATAAGCAGACTGCTTTGAGTGAGAATGTTACAAACTAAAATCAACTCCACACATAATTCCAACCTTGCAAGTAACCACACTAACTGAACAACATATTCTTCATGCACCTAATGGAGCAGGTATACAAGTGTTAAATTATAATCCCTATTTCATAAAGAAATGCACAAATGTAAGAACTTTTGCAATAGTGTGACTTCAAGTTAATTTCTATTAACAAAGACTAAAACATACTGAAACTGTCTTAAATAATTAGATGGCTGGAATGAATGTTGCTGAGGATATCAACTTACAGTTATACATTACTGGTATCAAGAAAAATGTAAGTTTGGGAACACCTGTAGTCTGTCTGTGAACCTTCTTAAGAGAAGGTTTGTGACACATCAGGATTACAATTCAGACTTTAGATAATGTCCAGCATTGACTTATATATTCATTTTGGTTAAAATCATTATCACCACCTCAAAGAAGATGCCTTAAGATCAGTTTTATGCAGTTTAATGACCTGATATTATTATTGGCTGAGTCTATGTGTCTTTTGAGTTTTCATACACCTACAGAAGACTCTTGATCATCTGCATGTGGATTAAACACAGGACTTTTATAACCATTATTTTATATTCACTCATAACATTTTACACCACTGTATACACTTGGAAGTTTAGCACTATATCCTATATTTGTCATGCAATTGAGTATATGAGTACAAGTATGAGCATGAGGGGTGAGCCATAAAAACCAGCCCTCACACCATGACCTTCAATGATCTATTGTGCTTCCCTTTTGGATTAACCCTTTATTAATCCTATACTTCGAATGAAATGTAGGACTTTATTTATGGGGACATCATAAAAGTCACTTGGTTCCATGAAGAGTTGACCAAGGTGGTGATACCTGAAGTAAGCTATAGCCTCACAATCTCATAAGATGTGTGTGGCTGATTTATCTTCTTGTAGGCACCTTTCACAGGTTGGGTCATCTGTCAGTCCCAGTTTGAAAAAGTGCCCTTTTAGGTGGCAGTGTCCAGTAAGTAATCCTACCATCCATCTTAATTGATCTTGTAATTCAATAACAAAAGGTTTAATGCATTTGTCTGAGTATGGCCTTCTGGAGGCCGAAACATGTAGCAAAAATATCTCCTACAGCTACGGACATGTATTATTGATTGTTGTGTTGTGTCGGTTTTCAGTATGAAATAATATATGATACACAAGATGCATTCACTGAAAATTACAAATATAATTACTTCATGTCTGATTTAGCTTAGAGGCTATTCATCTGGCTCAAGTCCTACAAACAAGCAACTACTCACTAGAAATTGTACTTTTCAGCTTACAGGTGCTAACAGGTTACCTAAGGAAGCAGGAGAACCACTGTACTCCTTTGAATGTGACATGAACTCTGTGGCCTTCCTCCAGACAGTAAGAAACAATAAAAACATAAGTCCACACTAAATTTCAGAGTTGGTACCAGCATATTTCATGTAGAGAATATACAGTTTTGTTTTCGAGACGGCTGCCCCGAAAAAGAAAGAAATAAAATGTAGTAATGCGCATGTTAAATCTGAAGATTTCACAAAAACCTCACATGGTGGTTTTCTTTTTGAAAATTAAATTTCGTATTCTGCATGAAAAACAGAAATTTTTAATAAAGCTTCACAGTACCAAGGAGGAAAGTCTTATGAATCAATCCATCATTAAAATGACACTTTATGGTGTACAGTCTGGAAATTATAAAAAGTCGAGTGGCATGCTCACAGAAGAACAAATATTTACTTTGCAGCAGTATAATCACCAGGTGACATTATTGACATTACTATATGGCTTCTCATCTATTCAACCTTTCAGCTGAAGAATTGCTGTTACTTGCAGTGTCAAGATTAGACAAATTTTGAATTGAGTTCACTGGTTTCATCTAGTATTCTGTATTCTTGTGTCTAAGTCTGTCAGTTAATGAATACATTCTTTTTTTTTAATTAGAACTGGCTATTCTTTTCAATGAATGGCAGACGAAAAGCATCTCCTTGTTTCACAAATTGTCAATGAAAAATCCGTCGAGTGTAACAATGTTTTTAGGTCACTTATTTATCTCACTTGCCTTACATGTTTCGGTTCAAGAANTTACATACTGTGTACATTAGACAACGCCAGTGTTTTCATGTGTTGGTAATACGTGCCTCTGATGATGGTTTTTCTTGAACCGAAACATGTAAGGCAAGTGAGATAAATAAGTGACCTAAAAACATTGTTACACTCGACGGATTTTTCATTGACAATTTGTGATTGACAGTGTAACGGACCAAAAATGAAACAATTCAAAATACCCTTGTTTGTTTACCGCCACTAAGGACCACGAATGGAGATTGCAGTTCTTTCTGTTTCATCAACAGGAAACAAAATAAAAAATATATGTTAAAATAAAAATTAATATTCTTGAGCCTGACACTTCAGATGGGGCACAGTCTGTTTGCCATTAAACAATCTGAACTGTTTGCAGCACCTGTCACTGATTATCCTAACAGCTGGCCAAATTTTAAGTTAGTCTGCTGCTTGAAGTCATCAGTTTCGCCCAATTTCCAACCCATGGTCTGTGTCTATGTCTGCTAGCCTAATGACAACTGAACAAATATGCTGTGTGTTTTATGAGCAGGCTCCATCTGACTTGCTACAAAGTTGCAGTGTTTGCTTCTGTCCAAGGACTGAAGCTACTGTGTATGTTTGTAGACAGCAGAAAATGAATGCACAAAAAGTGTGGATCAATATCTATCTGCTATATGGAATCATGGACATTTAACAATAACTACAACATACTTCCTTATCGAGCACCATTTAGAAATAGCATCAAATTGTTTCACAGTCTCACATGCAGCACGTCCTTCTATAAAACCTTCTGGAAGTTATTCATTACATGCTTTGAAGTATAAGGTTATCATCAAGTGTTTTAAAATTATAAATTATAAATGAGGAAACTGCTGTACCTCCATGTTGTGGTTGTTTGTTGTTACTGTGCGGTCCCTTCTATATGCATGTATNTATATATGAAGTTGTGGGTTGCTCTGCCCGCTGAGTTACACACACAGGCAGAACAACCCACCACTTTGTATATACATGCGTATAGAAGGGACCGCACAGTAACGACAAACAACCACAAAATGGAAGTACAGCAGCTACCTCCTTTATAATTTTAAACAACTGATGATGACCTTATAGTTCGAAACATGTAGCGAATAACTTTTAGTAATTTTTATAGAAGGACGTGCTGCACATGAGGCTGTGAAACCATCTGCTACTAAATGCAGTGCAGCAGGGTGCTACATTATAGTACTGTTTACAAATAACAGCTCATGACCAGATCTTGACTGATACTCATTCCTTCCTGTTCATTCCTCTTCATTCGTTTCTCTACTTTATTTCTGCCAGGTCCCTTCCCATGAAATTTATGAGACAGGTATCTGAAATTAGAAAGGGAGACAACATTAAAGTCACTGTATTTTAGGATCTTACAGAACGTGACCATGTTTCCAAGTAACATGTAACATCCTTTCATCCTGAATTTCCAGCCAGAAAATAGGGGTATGAGCCATACTTGGTTCAATCTGTTATTTTGTGAAATAATAAAAATATGTAACATTCTGTTTTCCAATGCAAATTACTCATACAGCCAACAACCAGAAATGGGCATGCTACAGCCCATTAAAGTCATAGGGATTAACCTTTAAGTGCCGAAGTGCCCAGTTTGTGCCAGTCATGAGTAAGGTCGTCGTGGCCAAAGTACCCAGTTGTGGCCAGTCAGGCATTTAAACTCCGCTAGTGGAAGCGCGCGCACACGCCGCTAGTAGAAGCGCATGCACAGTCCTGAATATTTATTTTTAAATGTAGTAATTACCAGACCGACTTAAGTAAAACCCTAATAGAGGAATTAAAATAATACCTTACTGAACAACAGCAAATAAAAATATACGTATGAGTTATGCCAAAACTTATCCACAATCCAGTAATTTTGTTGCAGATTCTGCAGATAGGTATGTTAAAAATATAGTGTAAAATTCGATGTACATACCTTTTTTGTTGTTACCTTCTTGATGTATATATAGGTTCAAATGAAACTACAGTATTCGATTTCACTACGAACGCACACAAAAGAGATCACGCTCTGTATCTCAGCCACGATGCAGCTGTCTGTTCATTCAAATAGAAGGGGCAATAAGCTTTTGCAGCCCTAACGGAACATCTTAGCACTGAAGAGGGGACCCCTATAGCTTTCTCTTGAATAGCCATTCTTTCATTCTTCTGACCTTCAGTCAAGTATTCGAAAATCCGAAGGGTGTAAGCAGCGCTAGCAGAAGACCAAATGATTTTATTGCTTCCATCTGTTTTATGACACCAGAGACTGCTAAAATTTGTCAAGTGTTACAAACAGAAATGAAGTTATAATGCAGAACAACTCTGTGAAGAACTGGGAAACCATTTTTGCAGTACGCATCAAAATTAAAACACAAAAAATTGAAAATAGAGTACAACACTTTGTATTAAAAATTTCAAATCTTCCTTTATAATATGCGACACTATGTTCTTTTCTGAAATAAACAAAGTTATTTCCATCCATTTATCATAAAAATTGAGCTAGATAGAGCATTTTTAAACACAACGCTTAAAATTGATTAAGCGCCTAACAGGAACGGACATTTAAACGCAGTGTAGCAACGGGCATTTAAACGCGCACCAGCAGCGGACATTTAAATAAACTCCGGCCAGCTCAAGCTTACCACTATTTTGAAGTCCGGCGTTTAAAGGTTAACATGATTAATGCAAAATATTTTAATAAAAGTACACTGGAACAGTAATAATTTTGAGGCATGTTTCTTCCTAATTCATGCAACCAATTTGCAAAATGAACCATTCTGCCACATTCTATGCCTACACAAGAAACTGTATCAAGTACAAACTATTTACACACTGAAATGTCACAATATGTTGGCTAGTTAGAAACTGTGACATACACAATGGGAGAAAAGGAAGTAAAAACAACCAGTATATAACAAAATGTTCTACTGAATGCATCTGAGGTGGAAGACAATAATCTCCCCCCCCCTGATAGGGTAATCATGATAGTACTGGTCAGCAGAGGGACCCTACAATTTAACATGGGAGGGGGGTATCCTTCGTATCCTCAAAGCTTTAACTCTGGTAGATGTGAAGGCATCATCTGTGAGCAGAAAAATCTGTACACATATGTGACAAAGGATCGAACTCAGAACCTTCTGAATGGGTATAACAGCTTATCCCAGGACCTTTTTCCTAAGGACCTACTTTAAGTGGCTCTAGTTTCACATAAATCCATCATTTTGTTCACACATTATAGTGAGGATGGCACACACAGATGATAAAAGAAACATGGTGGTCCCATAATCTTGTCTGTTTCCACTGAAAAGCTGCTTGCTCCTTGGAATTTGTTTCTTAAAAAGGCAATTACTGTGGGAACTTTTTTCCCTAAAGAATGTACTACCATTTGACAGGCTACCCTCTGCAATGTGACCTATCTTAAATACAGATATGCTGTTATCTGTGGTAACCCGAAAGCCTCTTCTGCATTAAGTGCAGGCGGTCTGCTGTGGAGAAGACTTGAGAGCTACTGGATGACTTAATAGGAATCAAATGCACATGATAGATCTGCATATGCTGATACCCTGTACTCCCTCCAGCTTCCATGCAATAAGAAGCCTCAGAAGGTGCACACCAGAGCACTGATAATATCTGTTCCTACAGCTCAGATCTTAGAGAAGGAAGAGTTGGGTTACCCACTAGTAGGCAGCTTTCTAGATGCCAGGCACTCTCAAATCAATTTACTTTGCTTACTTTCACTCCCTAATGAAGTATGGAATAATTTTCGTGGTAATTCATTTGACAATATAAAGGTATTTATATTGCAAAAGAAAATTATCAGAATCATGATGGGTGTCAAATCTCGTAACTCTTGTAGAGACCTATTTAAGAGATTACATATCTTAACTTTTCCATGTGAATAAATGTATTAATTTATAACCTTCATCAAAAATAACCTTGAACTTTTTCAGACCAATGCAGATATACGCAGTATTAACACAAGACACAAGCACTGTATTCATAAGCCAAATGCTAACCTGTCATGCTTTCAGAAATGTGCATATTACACTGGGATCAAAATCTCCAGTAAACTGCCATTGGATATCAAAAGTCTTATGAAAGAAAAAGCATGATTTAAAACAGCACTAAAACAAATCTGTGCTACTCTGTTGATGAACACCTATTGTCTGAATAGTGACTCATCCATGTGAGGGTTGCATAAGTTGACAATATGAGATTTAAAGGGTGTATAAATATAGCATGAGTTGACAGTGTGATGTATCTCTGAATAACCTTATGTGTAACCATTGTTGTTATTGCTGTTTTTAGATATTCTTTGTGTTTATATGACATGTTCCACATCCTACAGTCATTTGACTAACTTTGGATGTATGGAATGCAATGTAATATAACAGTAACAGTGATCATTCATTCAGGTTCTACATTTGTAGTATTTGATGGGTCAGTTATCAATACAGGAAGATTACTGTCTCTGTTCATTATAGTTTTCTCCCAATTTGTAATTATTAATCTTATTTTGGGCAGCTGGGGAGGGGGGAGTTGGAATGGAGAGGCTGGTCATGTAGAAGTAATTAAGAGGATTGGGCATTCTGACAGGTGACACACAGGTGACTCTGTGTTTTCACAGACTGCTGACCTCAGCCAAACTTTCTTTTTATCACCAAAATGTCCTTCTGAGCCCCCAGCATCCCTCTGATGACAGATGCCTGAGGAGCAGCAGGATACACACCCGACTGCAGCTGTGTTGCTGAAACCCTGGTGGTGGCTGGATGTCTGCAGCAATTTGTTACAGATGTTGCTGGCATGAAAGCTGCCACTACTCACTGCAATGTTGGTCACACTTGGTGGAAATCCTGTGGATCTGCCACTGTGGCTGGATTGGCCTCTGCTCTTGTGCAAGGAGTTACTTATACTGGTGCTGTGACAGTATTTGCCATGTGCCATAGAGGCAGGTTCNTGTTTTCACAGACTGCTGACCTCAGCCAAACTTTCTTTTTATCACCAAAATGTCCTTCTGAGCCCCCAGCATCCCTCTGATGACAGATGCCTGAGGAGCAGCAGGATACACACCCGACTGCAGCTGTGTTGCTGAAACCCTGGTGGTGGCTGGATGTCTGCACCGATTTGTTACAGATGTTGCTGGCATGAAAGCTGCCACTACTCACTGCAATGTTGGTCACACTTGGTGGAAATCCTGTGGATCTGCCACTGTGGCTGGATTGGCCTCTGCTCTTGTGCAAGGAGTTACTTATACTGGTGCTGTGACAGTATTTGCCATGTGCCATAGAGGCAGGTTCGGTTGCTGCAGGAATCAGTGCCTCACTGAACCTGGGCATCGAAAAAACATCTGTCATTCCTTCTATGCTGAAAACTTAGGAATGTGAAATTTGTATGTGATATTCTATAACTTTCTAAGGTCATACTGAACTTGCAACCATCATCTAGAACAGAAAATCATGGTACAGAAGTTAGGAATTCTACTTTATTTTCTGGAAGTTGTTGGTTTAAATCCTGAAGCAAATCTTTAGACTCTCTTAATTTCATAACTCCTAATTGATAAATCAGAAAAAAAAATGGTAAAGAACAAAAACGATTCTTTCTTCTATCCTCTTCTAGAAAGTTCAAGTTAAATGCTGAACGCTGGTTGCTCAGAATATGTGTGACAGAACTGGGGCTTTGCATTCACCATATTCTGCATGACCCAAGAAGAGCTGAAACTTTGTAAAATGAGATTGTTAATTTTTAGCAGCATGGTGAAGGATAATATAGACAATGGAAACCAAAGATACTTCACTCACTTAACAATATATACATAAAATGGAAGTACTTATGTGGAAATTTCTTGTTTTAAAAACCTGTCATTGTGTCACATATTTGTGAGTGTAAGTCTAGCGCTGATTTTCATTACACTGTAAAGATACATAAAGCTGCTGTATCTGAGTTTATTACCACGATAACTATGAACAGTACAGCCTTCTAGGATGTAATGCAGTGTAATCAGGCAAACACTCACTGACATTTTGGAGTATGTACCACTTCCACTTTCAAGGTAAAAGTGTAAGCCAAACAAGGAACCAGCATGAAGCAGGCAATAAGCCGTGCTATTTTCTTGCTTGGCTGACATCATTTACCCTACAGATGGAGGAGACAGGTTCCTCTAAAACGTCAGGGGACTTCCAGTAGATTACATGGCATTACATCCCAGAAGACTTGGAGAATCTGGAAGTTGGAATGACAAATATTTATATATGCAAAACTGTACTCATGAAAATGATGTTATATGTTGAAGTCATCCCCTCCAGATCTTTCCGGCCAAGAGATCAGGTTCAATGGCAGGGACATCTTGTGACTGTGGTTACTGGTTGCTGGTTGCTCATCTCTGGCCTGAAGTCTACAGCAAGTCAGTTTGCTGCTCTAACCAACTGAACAGCTTTCTGTCCTTGAGGAAGAGAGGGCAGGGTTGCAATATTATTTATTGGGAGAAAGTTTCTCACCAGTGCCTGTAAAATATGAACATTTCTTTTACATAAATTATTATTTCTAGCTATCTGTGTGAACCAGTGATTTTTGGGAGGGAGCAGTACACAAATGCTGGTGGTATGATAGCATGCTTTCTTACCAACAGGGCAGGTGGTATGATAACATACACTCTTACCGACCGAGCTCTCGGCACTGGCGGCAGCCATTTTGTATCAATAGAGTTGCCTCCGGGCACTGTGGCAGCAGTGATGCTTCATGACGTCATGATCCTCATGATCGCTGGAGATGTGTGGACGCGTCCGTCAAGTTCATGAATAACACTGACACTGATGAAATTTCACGGAGCTGACCGGACGCGGTACTGACACGTCACGGATATGTGTTAATAGACCTTTAGTACGTTGTCTTAGGAATCTTAGGTCTCAGCCGTTGTATTTTTGCCCGAAACCCGCATTTTAATTACTTGTCACTATAAGGTACAAAATCAAATAAAATTCAGCAGAATACAAATATTAATTATTGTATTCTAACATCCTATCTCTTCTCAATCTGCTCCTACTATTCGTTGCTTGGTTACCGGTCTCAAATATGGCTACACGAGTACGATATCACTAGTTGTTTCCGGTTAACGAATCTCAGCGGTCAAGATTGACTAGCTTCTGCATTCACGTCCTCACCCTTCGAGTTCCAGATCTTCCAGATAGCGAATCGACTCCTAGGCGATATTTATCATATTTATGCTAGTCGTGTGGTGACGTCATTGATCAAAAGACTGATTTCATAGGTTATATGTGTTTCAGTTTGAGTCTGTAGCGGTCTGTAGGTTAAGCTTTGATACATTGGACAATGACAACGCTGAGGCCATTTACCTGTAATGATATGTTGAAATTTAATAATGTGTAAGTACACGGTTATATATGGTGTCATACCATACTTAGCAATTTCTAGGCATGTTACCACCGAGTAATGGAAAATTGCGAACTATAGGTTAGTTTAAGAAATGTCAGTTGTATTACTGTAAGGCGCTTTCCTTCTATTCAGCATTCCTCACGTATGTACCAAGTTTTTGCTGTGGAGAAGATTGCCTGAATGATGTTCCGAAACAATCGTAGAAACAAAGGTAAAACTTCGAAATAACAGAGACTACAATTGTTTCTGAATTTGGACTTGACTGCCAGCCAAGGTATAGCCATTTTGAGCATGCTGCAGCAGTTTTTCTGCAGTATCCCCCACTGAAGCATTCACCAAATTTGAAGTTCCTGAAGGAAAGACTCGAGGAGATTAAGGTCTGGTGAACAACTTGCCCAGGATACTTGTTCCTGCCTTACCTGATGCTGGGAAACCTTCACACTGCTGTAGTTCATTAGCAAAGCATTTCTGGATCCATGTTTATGTAAACTGTTTCATTGTTTTGGACCATAGTACTCACCCTCCAGTTTTCTTTACTTATTTGTGAGACACTCTGTATAGTGTTGGATGATAGTATAATTCACGAGTGATGAACTGGAAAGGATGTGAAAAAAAAAATGGGCACGGCCTAATTGAGGTAGTCTTGACCTAGAAGAAGTAAGGAAAACCACAAAAAAAGTGCAGTCATAGTATAACAATTGTCCCAGCCAGAATTCCAACTGAGCACCTCTTGAAAACAACTCTAGAATGTAACCGCAGCACTCTCCTACTTGGTATAACGAGGTTTCATAGCCTTCTTAGAAGTATGATGGCGGGATAAATTTACACCTGACACCTGCCATCTGTGAGAGACTTATCTTTGGAAAGTTTGTAGTTGAGGATGGGTTCATAAGAGAAAGATATGAAGGTCCAGTTTCTTTAATGTATTCGTATTATCCATATAATCATCAACATCTGGATAATGTTTATTATATTCTTGTTTTACAGATTGCAATATTTGTTCATATATTATTCTTTTGTATTTCAGAAATTTTGATTCACTCACAGAAACTGTATCCTTTTCTTTCCAAATCAGCATCAAATTTACTTGTGTAATAATACAGGGAATATTTTTAAAACTAGACACGTTCACAGCTCTGTGCTTAACCGATACTGGTGCGTTGCCGGCCGCAAAGCTCACATGATTTTTTCTGATGACCCAGCATGCTTGATGGCCAATAACATTTGGAATGAAGGAAAATAATTAACTTGTAGACTCTACACAGTATTATGTTACACAGCGGGCAGTGCGGCTCATTTATGGGAGTTTGTTTATTATCTATTAATAGGCAGTAGTTGGGGCATGCAGTAGTGTAGTTGGTCAAGGGGTATGCTACAAGCCAGAAGGGCGCAGGTTCAAGTCCCGATGAGGTCACTGGATTTTTTCAATTGACCTAATCTTTCCAGCTGCACTGTGGCCCTGGGGTTGACTCAGCCTCTAACAGAAATGAGTACCAGGAATTAATTAAATAATTTTCCTGGGGAGTAAAGCGTGGCTGGTGCGTAAGGCTGACAGCCTTACTGCCATCTTTGAGCCGATTGTCTAGAAAATGTGGGACCCTCAATGTCTCACAACCCTATGGGCCTTCACAGCCTGTTACAGGGACAGCTTTACTTTTTTTACTTTTAGTAGGCAGTAGTTATCAGCACCATTAGCAACTCTCAGTCAACAGCAGTGTGGCACGACATGGTTCACTATACTTTAGAGCAACGTGTATTTCTGTATGACACCTATGTGATATACAGATCTGCTGGAAAGTGTCGGTGAAAATTTCAACATAAATTTTGTGATGAAAAAGTTGCCAAGCAGACAAACAATTCATAATTTGGTGAATAAACTTAGAACAACGGAGCTCTTAATAGACAAGAAAATAAAACATAAGTGTCGAGTGCTTACTGAGAAGAAATTAGATGACATAGGGGCCACACTTGAACATACACCTAGAAAATCACTGAAATGTCTAGCTCAAGAGACTGGAGTGTCAAAGTCTAGTGCAGGAATGGCAACACAGTTGCTGAAACCATCCAGTGAAAGTTGGTGCCTGGTGTGCTGTGAGTGCAAGAAGGATTGTTGTGCATGTTTTTAACAAAACAATTAATTGCGAAAGATAATTACATGCAGAGGGTTAGCGTTTTCCACACCTCCTGTGATCTCTGAACTAAATAAGAACTTCCCTTCATTCAAAATGTTATCGACATGCTGAGTTGGTAAAATTCACATGCGCTTTGTGACCGGTGGTGTTGCAGTCATGGTGAAGCATAGAGCCGTGAACGCATCAAGTTCATTAGAAAACACCCTGTACTTAACAGCTAAAATGTTCCCTATCTTCCTTAATGAAAGCAAGTATGGCTTATCCTTCTACATGCAGTATCTTGCCCACTGGCCAGAATACTTCCAAGTTGCAGAGTCACCAAGTGGAGAAATTATGGGCTATAGTAAGTAGTTTTGTGGTATATTTGCACCAGTATAATGACACAATCATGACATACAAAAAGTAAACCTGAAAGCACAGCTGTTACAGCCTCAACACTTAACACATGAAAGATGATAATAAGGTTATATAGTAACAGGACTCCAAGTAAACAAATTTTAGTGCAACACTACATGTTTCATAATTTACCCAGTTCATCATTTATTCATCTGCAGAGTGGTCACTGAATCAAGCAAGTGATACTCTTGAGCTCCTAGACACAACTGACAAAGCTGGTAGGCAGCTGAAGGCCATGCAGTCAACACGGTTAACTATTTCAGTGTTATTGGACATATATATTTGTGTAAATTGTTCTGCAGGCTATCTTTTTATGTGGAAAGCAAATTGGTAGTATGACTTGCATGACTTTTTGATCACTCTGCAGCTGGTTTAAATGCAAAATACAATTTTGGTTTCCCATCAAACCAAATTGCAGGGTGCTCAGTGCCTTTTGTAGTTGGAGTAGATTGAGTTATGCTTCTCTTAGGGAATTTCTGACTATAATCTATTCAGTTACACATTACTTGATCAATGGAATAAAACATGCTCAGGTTTTTGCTGTATATGATTATAATGCACAGTTAAGAGCAAACAGTATTTAAATGCATGCAAATTTCCATAATTATAAGTTACCATATATAACAATAGAGACAAATTCAACTATTCTCATATGTGCTGAGCAGTCATTGAGTTTTCATTGCAATAACAATAACTGTTGTGTTATTTTGACATTCATTTCCTAATTCTTTTATGTAACTAATATTCAGTCAGAAGTCGTTCAAATATTTATTTGTTTCCAGTAATGGGTAAAGCAGAAGGCCACGGTGAAAACTGGCATGGTCATGTTACAGCACTTACTGTGTCCCCTGAATTCAGACGTTTGGGCCTTGCTGCAACATTGATGGCATGGCTAGAAGATGTTTCAGAAAAGTAAGTTCTCTACAAGTCATAATAGTAATGTCATTTGTTATGTACAATGCTAGTAAGAAATTCATCATAGAAATGAATGATGTCTGTTTTCAGATTCTTGCTAATTACCTATCTGCTTAGAGTAGTCACAGAAAGACCAACCCCTCCTCTTTTCGAAGAGGAGGCCCCATTTCAGAGCGCATAAATGTCTTTGAAAGAACAAATAAATGACTGCTGGCAAACCTCAGAGGAAAATTACTGCTGTGCATTTCATGGTAGTGATTAACTCTTTGACTGGCGCGGGTGCATTTTTGCGCCTGGACGATGCCAGCTATTCCCTGGCGTTGGCGTGTTTTAGCGCTTTGATACACTCTTCCCTTCTTTGCTGTCTTGGTACTCATCAACCAAAGACATATTTATGATAGTTTTTGTGCATGGTTGTAAAGAACCCTTGTTGACTATGTGGGGGTCTATATTACTGTCAGAACCCTCTGAGAAGGAAAAGGTCAGAAAATATTTCACATTCATTCAGTTTCACCATGGCTTCTTGCAGCAAGTGTTGGAGTGTTCCTACAGACCAGGTGGAAAGTGTTGTGAACGAGATTTGTGCTGATGATGAAAGTGGCGATGAAATAATGATTCCTGAAGTTGATAGTGATAATAATACAGTGATAGACAATGATCCACAAGACAGTAATCATGAACATTTAGCCACCACGAGTGCGGTGCCTAACATGCTCATCTCATGGACATACAGAGAAATTGTACCAACAATAGTTCCATGATTTATTTCAACCGTCTTCCAGTGCATACACTCATCTATCTCCTCCTCTCACTCGCACTACATGTTTCGGCACAAAAGTGCCATCTTCAGGTGCTTATTCGATTTACGCTAAACTAGTTCATTGCATGCCTTGTCGTCTTCATATTAAAATAACTAAAATATATATTTATCATATATATTGATAAATGTTAAAAATATTAAAATTGTTCAGGATTTTTCATCCCTACGTCGTATCTCACTAC